TCCATAGGAAAGCATTATGAATGCTTTCCTATGTGACCGGCTGAATGCGCGCGCAGCTCTTGCCGCGCGTGCGCATTCAGCCGACGGAGAGGAGAAGAGGAGGATCGGAGGAGGAGAGCTCCCCGCCCAGCGCTGGAAAAAGATAAGTTTTTACCCCTTTCCAGAGCCAGGAAAATGAGTATGTTTTCCTGGCACTATAGTGGTCCTTTAACCAGTGAGCTCTTTCAATGAGAAGCAGGTGTTCGGTGTAAAAAGAGCATTTGATATTCAAAAAAAATCTAGTAGGTGCAGCAAACGGCAGGTAGAGGTTGAAAGTTCAGTAAATCTGCTGACCCATGAGCCTCAGGTAAGTAGATATTTCACTCTCCTGTTGTCAAAAATGCAGTGGTCCCACACCCACATTTAATATAGTGGGAAATTGTTCTGGAAAGTATAAGGATTAAGGCAGCTATCCTTGCTTTCTGCTGGTTATGTGGTTTTCCGGTTCGGCGGATAACCATTTTGCTCGAGCCTATATAGCTTCTGGTGATGGTTGCTGCATTTCTGCCCTCTTTTATGATGTGACACCTGCACGAAGACTTTATGACTTCACTGAAGTGGATTTGTGTCGCATTCAACGCTCACCCACGTTTTGGGGGTTTGGTTATTGTAAGAATGCCCACAACATATAAATAGGAGTATTTCTGAGTGTCCTATGCCCTGTTGTATTTTCTCATTCCCCCAATATTGCTTTCTTAATGTTTTCTGATATTCTGTGTTTTTGACCTTGCTTTCATAATGACTATTCTGACTTCTGGTACCCTTGACCTGGCTCTGTTTATGTGATTATTCAGTTTCCGGTATACCTTGATTTTGGCTTGTCTAATTCTATTACTCTGTTTTACCTGAAGCCCGGCCACCAGATAGTAGTAGGTGGCTGATAGTAACCCATTCTGTCTTAGGTTATGCTCTGTGTTGGGCTTTATATCCCTGACAGAAAGTTACCAAAATGTATATGCATTGTTTGTTTGTTTTTTCTAAATTTGGGTTTTGGGTGCTTACAATTAGAACTCTTAAAAGAATGTGTTGGTTAAAACTAGGGTTATGGAAAAAGGGAGTTTATGATACAGGCATGTAACGTTTGAAGGGTTATTTGCAAAGTACTCACTATACCAGGCATAGGCAACCTTCAGCACTACAGATGTTTTGGACTACACCTCCCATGATGCTTTGCCAGCACTATGGGTGTAAGAGTCTGGAGTGCCGAAGGTTGACTATCCCTGCACTATACCATGATTGATTGTTGAGCTGGAGTAGCTTTTATACACTGTGCATCACTATGGCATACTCTGTGCATGACTCAATGTTTTCGACCCTGCTCATACTGCAAGGAACTTCCTGTGTGAGAGGCTTTTAGTGGACAGATATGAAGTGATCACTTCCAGTCCAGCCCCACCCACAGACACTGGAGGAGCTGGGGCAGCACTGACCTTTACATCCTCCATAGCTGTTCCTGCAGGCCTGCTATCAAGCATACGAGGCTGCCTGGACTACAGCTGACCCTGGACAAATCTCCAAGTACTTGTCTCTCCCTGCCAGCCCACCTAAGCTCAATAAAGGCACATCATAAAGGGTGGAAACAGTGATCCCCTCCAGGACATGTGCTACTCTGCAAATTGGAAACTTCAGCCTTGCGTATGAGCACACTG